AAGTGTTTCTCTGTAATTCACCGGAAAACATAATTTGGTATTCTGATTTTGATTTTGAGCCCCAATTACACTCCAATAGTCTCTTGCAAGGAACCACTCACCTTCAAGATACTTTCTCCAACTTGCATGAAAATTTCTAAACAAAAAATACATTAAAAGTAAATTAAAACAGTACCTCAAGGCAAAAAACAAATAAACCCAAAAACTTGAAGGAAAAGGCCAGAAATGTATGATCTGAACAAAAATTATCTCCAAAGTTGTCAAATGTGAAATTTCACCACCTCAAATCATCCTTCTCGACACACTCCTGAACCTGAATCATGGAGAATGAGAGAGAGACAGAGATTGGGACAGCATAAGAATAGAAACATTGCAAATATTTTTTGCCGATCAATAATGAGTGTGCTTCTCTATCTACCCTTCACTTAAATACCCAGCTTTTATTCACATTAGGGTCTAAAGTCATGACACGCACTTAACTCACACATTACATATGTTGCGCTCTTTTGCAACTACACCAAAGTGTTAGGGGTAACTTCGAGACATTAACTGAGCCAATAAAAATAGAAACAAAGAATTAACTTAAAAAAATAAGGACAAACTTGATTTGTTTGCTTGGGAATACACAAACATAATACAATGCAACAGCCACTTCAAATGCAAAAACCCCATAGAATATAACTTTTTATTACTCTGTAGATAAAATGAGCACATGAGGCCATAAAAAATAGCTCTTGTGCTGTAAATTGAAGGGCAAAGTGAACTTTCTAAGCCCTCCCATTACAGTACCAAAGGCAAAAGGGTATAATATCCATGTTTCCACAAGAAAAACGATCAAACTTTCACCCGTCTAGCTCTAGGCCATCTCATAGCACAGAGCTACATGTTAATCTAGAACAACAATCCCATCCTGATAAAAAGCAAACTAAGGTCCAGTTGCAAAATATTTCTTGAATTTATAATTCACCTACTACGTATTACACCCCAATCTTCTCACAAGTAAGTTCAAGGTTAACTACATAGATGCTCACAGCCCATATTGATCCATTTAAGTATGTCTGCTACTTGAACTTACAAATTAAACCACATCAGAACAGGTTTAGGAATTAAGTTGCTAAGCACCCAAACCACAAAAACACGTTTCAAACTCACTTAGCATGAAAATGCCTCTGGTAAAAAACTGGACTTCACTAAAATTTCAGTTCAAACTTCAAATAATATCCAAGTTTTGTAAGTCATCTCTAATAGGAACTTCAAACAAGTTTTCATTGTGGCATGGAAGCAAATTTAAATTGCCATCTAAAATGGACCGTACAGTATCAGCATAAAGCATGTTGATGCACCAATTTTTATTTTTTTTTATCAAACAACCTAAGCAATGTGTGCATT